CCAGCCATGGCGGCTGGGGAATTCTGGGAGTTGAAGTCCACTCTTCTTAAAGTGGCCAAGTTTGGACAACACTGAGCTACAGAATACATTGCTTCTTTCAGACTTCTGTGTGCCTGCAAGGATTTTATCAATTCTGCTGATTGTTCAAGTTGTCTTTCTTTAGATGGACAGACTAAATTTATGTTGTCCCTTCTAGTTCTGGTTAGTTTTCTACAGATGCACAGTTAAAATCTCACTTTCACTGAAAATTACAGCCAATATAAAACTAGGTAAGCAGCAACTAAAATGCTAAAAGGATACTGTTCCTTTCAATTCCATGTTGTACACTTGTTCATTAAAAATAATTTCTGCTACTTAAAAGATGTTATTGCCCATTTTACTTCAACTACAAAAATCCTGCCTACTCCAGTTCAAGTCAAACATCTAGCTTCACTGCAAATATAGTTTGGCAATTCATAATTTTTAAATCTATCTAAGTTTCTAAATCTTGCTTTTATGCATATTTCTAGCCAACATTGTTTGAACTGTACTTAGACCCTTTGGGTGTGCCAACTCCAACAGGAAACTTTAGCCAAGCAGAACAGATACTTCATGCCTGCATAATTCAGAGGTGATTATTTTACACCCAGCAAGTCAACCACAGAAGATAGAAGGTGAAAATCTTAAAACAAAAACAATTGATCATAGTAGGTCTACAGAACATTGCCTTATACCAAGTCACATATGATCCAGCTATTCAGCATTACCCACAATGACCAACAAAGGCTCTCCAGAACTGCAGACAGTTGTTTCAGTTGTTCCCTGTCTTATATAGAGATCAAATTGGAACCTTTTAGGTCTATCCTCTGGCACTGACCAAAAACATAATCTCTATTTTTATTACAGGTGCCAGATCTTGGCTGTGAAAATCCAGACAACTGCTAGATGGCACCAAAGACACATAGAAAACTCACTCTGCTACAATACAGTGGTTGTCTGGAGTTTTGTAGCCCAGATTTGATAGCTGTAATTTATTGCCACAATGCTGTCCTCTAGACAGTATTCACTGTTTAATTGTTACCATTATGGAAAATTATTTATTCTTACACTGTTTGACCAGGTATGAATCCATAAGATGACTTGTCACTTAATGTTATTACTGCTTTGATTGCACCAGACAGGTGGTGGATTTGCAAAAGCTCTGTGCAAGTCTTAAGTATAAAAAATTCACATGTTCATCCCAACTACATTCTTGTTAATACCTTCATAGGATTTGAAAAATTTGCAAAATGCTTTCCTTGCAGAACTCTGCACTTTCTCTGTAACACTGGTTGTTCTCCATCAAACTTCTCCAATCAGGGATGTACCAAATAATCCGAGACAACTGAAAGGCTGTTCTATATATTTAATAATTCTAGTTTGTTCATTTTACAGTGCTTTCCCTCAGTTATCAGAAATATAGGCGTGTTATTTCTTTGATTACCCTAATTTCCTTGTTTATCCTCTAACCTTAAAAAAAAACAGGCATTATGGTGGTTCTTAAAAAATTATTTGGAAGGTGATTTTAGCAGTTAGTATCATAACTCATTTTTAAAGATCTCTTTGGAACAGATTATCTGTATCTAGTAACTTTCTCATTTTTGTCAATTAGAACTCAACTTTCATCTTGTAATCAGTTGTTTCTCAAAATTCCATTTCTGTGAAGGTATATGCACATGCACACACACAAAATCATGCAGCTTTTTCTTTTTTATATTTGTTATGTCCTTTTTTTACTTTGTTGTTTTCTAGGAATCTAGTGGTTTTCCTGTCTGGTTTCTTAATTCTGAAATATTTAGAGAAAATCATCTTCTGTACACCTGTCCCCTAATTAATTACTTAGCTTTACAAAATAGAGTCCTTTGGATTATAAATTGAACTAGCAGATTAGGGGTTGACAATATGGCAATGCAAGAAACATAGATTCCTTATCCATTTCATCTTATGATTTTTATAGTCCAGTGAATGTTGAAATCATGAAGAAGCTTCTGCTTTCTGTCTAGCGGGCCTCTTTAATTCCTTTTTTAAAAAATTGCATGGGATTGAGCACTACATTTGTTCTTAGTCTATCAAAAAAAACATGGATCTTAATATTTCTATCATAGCTTCATCAAGCTTCAATAATTCAATAATCAAGACCTGGTTATGTCAGCAGGCCTGGGGACCTCAGGGAACAGGTAAACTTGTGAGGTGGCTCCATTATTATTAACATCTCCCAGTCTATTATTATTTTTTTGTATTAGCTCTCTTTTTATAGTTTTTAAATGTTTTTAATAATTAATAATAATGGTTTTAGTATTTATTAATTGTTTTAGTTCTGTTGTACACTGCCCAGGGTCACTGGCTTTGTGAGGTGGGCAGTTATATAAATTAGACAAATAAATAAATAGATAGATAGATAAATAAATAAATAAATAATTTAATGCTTTCCAGGCTGAAGCCAGACAAGGTGGATTAAATTAAACGAATCATCATCATCATCCTGTATAATATTGGTGCCATAAATGTCACTCAGGGATATATTATGAAATAATTAAAAGATGTCTATGCATATTGTTTCAGTTCTCTATTTTCTATAAATGTCCTAGAATTCTAACCAACAGCCATTAAACCTTTACCAAATTTAACTCCAACCGAAGCAAAACCACGTGCTTCTTCCCCAAGCTCTATCCTGCATGCTGAGAAGTGATATTAATGTTGAGTGCTATTAGACACATTTGCCACTTGTTTCTTTTCTCTGCTGGCAAAGAAGTTTATTTAATCAATGGATACTGATGATGCAGAACTAGTTTGCACAATATGGCTGTTTTTTCTCCCCCCTCCCGATTCATATGACAATATTTAAATGAATTGTTTACACTTACTGTTGCTGTTATTGTCACTGCTGTCATTCCTAAGGGAACTGGCTGCAACAGGATGTAATAAAAATGGCTCTGTGACACTGGTGCTTGAATCTGAGACAGAAAGAATATGTTAATTTTTTATATTTTAAGCACACACAAAGTTGCCTAATAGAGAATCAAATCCTTGGGCCATCTAGCTCAGGATTCCCAGCACGATTCTTTCCCAGCCTGATCTGGATATGTTGAGGATTGAACGTGGGAATCACTGCGATAAAGCTGGGCCCATCTGAGGAAAAAAAACTCCTACTTGGTTTGGGTTTCATTATAACATTTAGATAATTCAGAAAAAAAGGTTATATGATCAGAAGTAAATAGCTATAACTGGAAACAGAGCAATTACATTTAATTTTTCATATTCTGTGTTCTGAAAATATATTATTTTACAAAATCCTCAATGCTTGCATTATGTCTCTAAGACATGTTGTTATGGAGTTGTGGTGAGGAATATTTTAGATATCAGAGAGCCAGATTAAAAAAACTGACATTGTGTCACCATCACTTTTGTCCTTGCCACCTGGCTTTCAGATGGAAAGCCTGCAGGAAAGGCTGCTCTTTCAAAGACTATATGCAAACTCTTCAGGAAACTTCTCAATGGGAGACTAGGATAAAAGTGGCTTAAAGAGTTAAATAAATATATTCAGCTGTTTAAATGGCTTTTAAGATTAGATAGCAGCCATGAGGTCCTGAATGTGGATTAAGGTTCTGGAGCATAATGGGGGAAACAGTGTAGAAACAGTTCAATCCCTTGTCCCTGCCTGGACCCTATCTTGATTAACCCAGTTATCTGCATTGGTCGAAAGCAGAATAGCTGACTATCACCATCCGAGTAATGTATAAGGACTGAAAGTGGGTAGAGGGCAAGAGGGCCTCTGTCCTTTACCCTGAAATGGGTAAAGGATAAAGGTGGCCATACTGGCCATGTTGTTCTATATGTGTGCCCAACATGCCTTTGACTATCCCTAGTCTCCTTGTTTTGAAGCAAGAAGTCTGAAGGATCCTGGTAGGACTTTAGGATCCTGGTAAAACAGGCAACAGGTTCATGAACTCAAAGCACTATTTATTACTTTTATTTATTGCTGATATTTCTAGGTGGCTCTATTTCAAACAGCATTATAATTGTGTTATATTTACCCTGCATAATGCAAGCTCAAACTGAACTGGCACGAACTCACTAAAGGTGTTAGGTAATTTGTGGCATTTGGGGATATTTCCATATATAAAAGAACATTTACCATTTGGAGAGGGTTCTGTTGTTGAGGGAAGAACGCAGTCACTTTGTTCTGGTCTTTCTGAGAAGTTTTTGTAGGCCTCAATAGTGCTGTAAAAGTGCTTAAAGAACTCTTCTGGAATGAATTTACCTTCTTCATATAGATGGTCATAATCTTGGCTATAATTCTGGGAAAGAGGACAGAATTCCTTTTTTAAGAAGGTACACCCACCTAGTCTATCACTATGCAGTGTAAATGTCTCTCGTTTGGAAGGGTAGGTTATACAGCAGGAATTCCTTCCTAGGTGACTACATTGTTAACAAGTGGCCCAGACACAGAGGTGAAAACTGTACATGACAAATTCATATTCAACTGAAAGCTTTTTTCTTGGATAAACACTAAATACACAATGAAAATACTAAACCAGGAATTGGCTTAGTTTACTGTGAAAATTGAAGCAAGTTTAAAATTGGCTCTAGACAATATAGTTTCTTTATGTTACAATATCATCTTTTATGCTTTAAAGCAGAGGTGTGTAATTGGGGAGGGGGGGGGTTGCATGTGCCTTGGAGACTTCCTATTCCCAAACTTCAGCTACTAAGAATCTATTACTATGAAAACAATACTGTTGCTTCCACAGATTATTAGCAGTGCAAAGCTATGCTTGTCTACTCAGAGATTACACTGAGAATAAGTCCTACTGAATTTGACAGGGCTTCAATGCTTGTATATATAAATATTATAAAGAAATAAAGAGATTAAACACAGTATGTATAAAATACTGTGTATATGTTAAATAGATGTATTTATTTAAATAAAGGGATAGAAAAGAAGAAATTAAGTTGCATGCAAGATAAGATTTATTTATCACCTTTATGCTCCACCACAATCGTACACACACTCAAGGCAGGGTATAAATGTGATATATAAATATATAAAGAATTGAAGGAATTATGTGAATATACATAATTAAATATAAAAAGAACTGAAGGAATTACTTGTATAAAGTCATGATTTAGTGAAACAATTAAGAATGCTTGGTCTATTATAATAGTAAGATAATTTCTGCAAAACACATTCTGTTACAGTCACCCATTCTTTATACATTAATATCACAGAATATTATTTATCAATATAGAGGAAAGTTCAGAGTTAGATCATTACCTTGTAGGTGGTAGAAGGTAAACATGCCATCACATCATTGATGATCCTTCTTAGTTTATTGATGATTGAATAATTACTCAAGACATTTGACATATCTGGAAATTCTTTAAATTTATTGAGAAGATTATTCAGACTGTTTAACAATTCGGGGACCATCAAATGCAACCAACAGTGGTAATGCTGTCAGAGATCATAACAAAGGGGAAAAAAGATTAATTTTGTGCAATATGTAGATCAATAAT